GTTGGAAATTTCACAGCTTCCCAGAACAGGCCCTACCATATGATCTTAGTCGTATACTAACTTTCATAAGATACCCACGCTATGAATATGTGTCTATGAAAATACGGTTAGAGCTAAAACTCTTAAAAATTGAGCAAGAAATTTGAACTTGGTGTAGAAAAAATACTTTGTGGAACAATATCGCGTCCGATGAAGTACTTTACTCTGGTCGTTTCCGCATTCGAATTACGAATGATAACGCAGGAAAAGTGATCTGGGGTGTTACGTGCTAAAGATTGATACTGAAGCAAAATTGTGACAATCCAAGAAACATGCAAACATGTTTACAATAGGGTAGCCGTCACTGATATTAGATGCTATGGAAGTTGTAGTATTTCCCAATGACAACGAATACAATAGAATCTGATTGACCAATGGAGGTATTCACCGTCTGGATGCCCAGCAATGCATGATAAATTGGCTTTTCGAATAAAATATTTCTCCTTTTTCGTTGATTCAAAGAATAGTTCTACGATTCCTCAAAGCGCACCAATATCGTTCACGGGCTATCGATCCAAAGGATTTGGTTCTGACTTCCTCGGTGAATCGATCAAGCTACCAAAAACAATTGCAACCGTAGCATACAAGACATTTATCCACATAACTGTCCACTTTTTCAGTCAATAACCAAGATGCAATTAATGATGAATTTTCTACTCAGTACTCGTTTGAACATTATCTGTAGTTCTCCAGAATACCTGAAGGCTTGTGTAGCGCAGTGTTGTTCATCATGCAATGCACAACTAGTCGTTACTTTAATCCCATGATCGATGCCTACAAAGTTTCAAAATTCCAAACTTCCGAAGTCATCAAATTTGGGTCGGACTTCTCTTAGAGGACGAAAAACAGTAATTTGATCGACCTGTGGGCCCCTTTATGTCACTGCACAGGCCAGATATCCATTCCACCACCTTTGAAATGCACGGCTCCTCCCTCTAGGCCAGAATAACCTCGAGCACTTTATCCTTTATCCATTTAATTCATTCTTTTGCAGTACATAACTTTTTCAGTGTATGCCACTGTTTTAATTGGCTTATGCTACTGAACTGATCATATCCCACTGACAGCAATGTTGTTATAAGACATCTACTTTTATCCCCAGAAATTGTCCACTTTAAAGAGATGATTCTTCTGGGAGTTTCAACAGAGAATCGTGTGCCGATAGTCGAGCAGAAAGGCTTTTCTTTGCTAAACTAGGTCGATCCTTAACGTCGCAACGGGTTCCGTAGACAAGCTCTTTCGTATGAGTATGAAGGACTGGACGGAGTTTCTTGGCATGTGTAACATCTCCTGAATTAATTGAGGTCTTTGGTGATAGCTTTGATATAATTTGCTCCTTACTTTCAGTAACTTGTCAACGGAATTGGAAATGCAGCGTTAGAGCTGCACTAAACATTTCTGGTGGTGTGGTCAGAAGTACTACCTTCTCCATGGACTTTGCAAATACTATCAACAGCGTAGCACGATTCTCACAGGATTACAAAGAAAAACTTCTTCCTCAACCAGCCCGGTGAAAATTGCTCCAGAGCATCAACAATTCCTTGTCGTGATGAGCCAATGAAGTATTTTCCTCCAAATTATCAAGAAAAATTTCTGAAAGATAACGTGCATCCACATGTTCATTGAATAACCGATTTCTACCCTATCCGGAAAACGTGGCCACAAAACGGGCTTTCTATGGGCTCTACCCTGAATATATAGACATTGTTCTTCCATTGAAACAACGGGCTAGGAGAGAAGTTATGACAGCTCCTATTAATTCTAGTAGGTGACAGATTTTACTAGGGTCTTTGTAGGTGGTAGAAGATATCTTCTAAAATTTCCTATTCATGGAACTAAAGGTCTTGTCAAAGTACCACAAAATGTCTTGTCTGATATTTTACACATTGGGCATTGACTTGGCCTTATTCATTGTAATCGCGTGCACACAATTTCAGAGCTGAGCATGTTCGTCTGAACATTCATCGTGTGTCTGTTCGACGTCGAAATCGTCGACGCCGAACGACGACATCGAAATGGCGGGAGCGCAGCAACAGGATGTGGGGCCAGCCGAGGCACAGTCTCTCGCCCGCTCGCCGACGTCGCCATCCGATGGGGGCGGCGGCGTCGGATTGGGGGCCAACCATTCGGATCGCGCGACGATGCTGCGTCGTTGCTGCGCTGCGCTGCTGCTTCTCGTCTCGCTACCCTCTAGGACCGATGGGGACGAGAGGGCCGAGGTCGACATCCGAGTGTCTGGCGCATGTTCACCCGGTAAGCCTCAGCTGATTCATTCCGTCGCACTTGAATTCTCTCCGACAGTCATTTCGTTTCGTTTCGTTCATCGTTCCTATTTTTCCTCTGCTTTTCTTTCGTTTTCGAGTTTTATTCATTTGGTGACATTTTTGTACGTCGTCACATTTGCCGAGACAAATTTCACCTAGGTTTACTAATTCTTTACTCTATGATGTTCTAAGGTCTTTGCTTGCATGTGGGAAACGAAAACATCCGTTTGATAAACTGTGGTTGAAATCACATAGTGAATGCTGTTGACGTACTATTACGTCTGTCAAGTTAGCGGTTCTAGTTACTAGGTAGTCGTTAGTATTCGTCATGCTGTTCTCGGTATAATCAACTCAGCAGGAATCTGTGAGACTTTTGCCAAACGACATTATCACGTTAACACTTCCCATTTCAAAACCAACTACTTGCGCTCCTTGTAATTTTTAATTTTTTACTGCAATGAATTTGGTTTGGTCGGAACCGTTGGCGGACGGGTAACTTGTTGCTCGACCGCAGCTAGAGGATATGCTACTCTGTACGTCAGAAAAAATCCCTGGAGACGGCTAATGGATTCTCCGAACGCCCCGTTCACCCCGACGCCACACACCCATACAGGTTATCGAGTGAATCAAGAAAAACCTGCCCGATCAAATGTTTTAACACGCGTCAATCAATAGCCCGTCCTAATTGTGATAAGCAAAATGTGTTGTCTACTCACCCGAGAGCGATCGTATCGTTCTGGCCACTAGAGATATCTATCAGAGTGCAAAATCTCTCACACTCCCACTCATCTTCACGTTGCTTACGATGAACATTGGCGCGAACAACTCAGAAGATTGCTCGGTCCTTCCCCTCTCGAGATTAAATGTAGTTACCATTTTGTCTCTGTTTAAGACTTGATCTCACACTGTATCAGATGCAGCACCAATTGGCCGACTCCAAATGCTTGAGGGCTCGATTAGTCCTGTACTGCGTGCTCGAACCAACGACAAAATGTGTAGTATTACAGAGCATCTGTAACACCCATGAATTTTATGACTTTGAATTGAGAATATTCATTTATACAGTCGTTTTAATTTCAAGGATTTAGAACAGGTTGAGAAATCGACTAAAGCTATCGCAAATGTTTTACGCATCGATAATAATACATTGCAAGTATGCCAGGGTAAAAGAATTAGAGGTCTCGAAGAAATCAGCAGACAAAGGCCGATACTTCTGCATATGTAGCGACAGCGAAGACAAAACGGCCCACTCACGTGCATTGTAATTCGGAATCTGAGACAATTTTGCCTCTAAGACGTCCAACTTATTACTGAGAGGGCTGAAGATTGGGGTTTTCGCGGAATAGGTTGACAGATTCTCGATGAATTCTGGAATTTTGTAGTCACTGTAGTAATAAATAGAGCGCTAACATAGTGAGTGAAAAAGGACCCAAAGAGAAGATGTCTTTTCTATTAATTTCTGCATTGTGGATGAAGAACTGAGGATGTGGATGAACAGCCAAACGATGTAAAATCGTTGTTATTAAAGCATGTTATGCTGACTTTTTCAGTAAGTGCTTTAAGCGAGATATACTTAAATGTGAATTTTGTGGGCAAAATGATTGAATCTACTCGCGAACATCTTTTGTTCGATGTCATCCAATATGGCACATTCAACAATGGCGATTTTCCTGAAAACAAATGATAACTGATAAACTGCATAAGTAGATAAGCAATTCATATTGTGCAGAACAAGTGAATAATTCGATTTACGTGATAGTGATTGTCAGCATTTTATCTCAGGATAGCCGACATTTCGTCTCAGCACGGTCTAACCCATCAACAAATCGTATCTGCTGCGAAAAAGCGGTGGTGAATATCGTTATGCTATATTTTCACACGTGAGAGCAACCTTAGCAATCAGTTTTGGTTGGACTGCATTTATTGCAATTTTCTACACCAGTTTTCTTTTTTCCTAGCATTGTCACCGTCTATTACCCATAAATATCGAGTAATCATCTCTCAAACTTTATGTCGCGCCTAGTTACTTCGTTCCGGCCATTTCATAAAAAGAAGAAAGCGCTTTTCCTTCTGAAAAGCGAAATTGAAGTTAATTTTGCCCATTTATAGGACAGAGGAATATAGGGCAAGTATGGAAAACTTAACTCAGCTGTGCTCAAAAACTCAAAAAAGTGTTAGAATTTCCAACTGGTCATGTACGTGGGATGGAGAGCGCAGTACTCAAAGATTGTATGAAGTGTACGCATGGTCGCTAGCTCGACCCGGCACCATTTTCGACAGGCCACCTCATATACTCATGGCCTGGCCAAAGCTCCATCTAATCAACAAATTTTTAATCTGCAGTAAAGGCCTGTAAATTGCCTTGTAAGTCTATCTTAAGATTACTTGAAGATTTAACTCCGCCACTACTCAGCGGCATGCACGAAGAAGACGAAATCCTCATCTAGTAACCGGTCGCAAATGCAAATCCAAAGACCTTCATTAAGGTACTGGGGTACTCCCACGAGCCGAATGAAAGAATTGGTGGAATTCGCGCAGTAAGTGGTGATAGGTCTTGTAAATAAACAAAAATTACAGGAATTTTTAAGCGAAATCTATTCATTTTGTTACATGCAAGTCCTCTCAGATCTGTGGTGGTTTCAAGAAGAGTGAGTGGAACTAGAAAATTGTTTCCGTGTGAGGGTCAATATTAGTTATATGGCACAAAGAGGGCGCGTGTATTAGACGTCTTTTAGCGTGTATAGGAATTCATGTATGTGCTCATTTGTCCGTTTATGCTTGGATATATATACATATATATATATATAGGGTGCATGTGGCGCAATGGTTGAAGGCGCCACTGCGGCACACACGTGGAATCGGTCTCCGCGCCCATAGCCCACCAAGCCCTCCATCCCTCCGGGATCGGCAAATTGGTACCATACTTGTATAGGAGGATAGCAGCACTGGATCGATACATCGGTAGGCCACCGTGAGTCATTGTATAGGCCAGATATGCGTTCAATCACCTCCAAACGATGCATAATGAAGTCGAATACATGGCGCATCCCACAGGGTTTGATCAATGTCGAGAGCTTTATCCTTATCCTTTATGCTACAAAGATCCAAAAAACTGTGAAAAAATTTAGCAGAAATGATCCTATAGCGGAAAAATCACTGCGATTTCTCCATTTTCACTATGGTCAGTATTATAATTATTTCTACTTCTTTGCAGTGTATTTGCAACGAAAAGGAATCGACATTAACAAATATCGGCCGTTAATACGTTTCAATCCAGACAAGGTTCAACTCGTGCCCAAAAATCCAGTAATTCCAGGATGTATTAAAATTAAAGCTGAAGGTAAGAAATCCTGTCTACTTGTACTGTATGGATTATTATTGGCACATTATTCCTATTCAAAAGTAGAAGCGCACAAAAATTATTAATCTGTTAAATCGTAAACTATCACGAACAAATAACGAAATTTGTACAATAAATGATTTCAGTTAGTTGACGTGAACAAATTAAATGAGATTATTATTTTCTTATATTGTTATAGATGGATGAGGGCGAATATAGTGCAGAGGCAAGAGTGCTGTGTGATACACACCGAATCTCTCTCCGTAATAGACCCAGCGCTCCGGACTCACCAGAATTTTCATTCCTCTGAGGTCGACAGCTTAGTATCAAACTTGTGTGGGGCGATAAAAATATAGCCTTGATACACCGACAGGCCACTGTAACTCGTTGTATAGACCATATATGCATTCGACTACCTCTGCGGTGCTACGTATGCCAACGTATTCATGACACACGTGTTAGAGACTGATTACGCCAAATGCTTCGTGGTTTTTTATTTTTTACTGTTAAAGACAAGGGAGAACAAAAACAGTTTCTGGTTTTGTGAGCTTAGACTGATATTCCTATAAGTTCATAAAGAGAAACTTGAGCTTCCGAACCTCACTTAGGGTACGCTATCAGATTTTACCTCCATATTTGACCTATTACTTCACCCTTGTAGCGTTGGGACTGAAAAAATTTTCGATACCTTTCCGAGGAAGAATTTGTTTAGAGCTGAGGAAAAAGGAAAGGATCGATCTTTCATTCAGTCACCTCAAGTATGCTTGACATCAATCATCATTTACATTTATCCTTCTGGACAAGGCGGTAACTTTAGCCAGTTTTTACTCATATTTGAAGGTGTGGAAATCTTACGACCAATACGAAATCTCGTTGCTGAAGTAGAGTTACGAATCGGCGGTACTCCAGATCCTTCCAATCCCACGCTTCCATGCTCGAAGAAAATTGACGAAAAAGTCAACCAATGTCCGTGCTCAAAACTCGAAGGAACTTGGTGAGTGTAACTGAATACTTGGTTATGAATGACCAACGGAAGTCGCAGTGGAAAATTTAATCCTTGCAGCCACGACCGAAATTTTCCGTATTTTAAATTCCTCCAGTAATTAGTACATGATATTCATGCGTTCTGGGCGCGTGCTGGCAGCAGTTGAAGTTGATTTGCAATGCGCACGTGGTCGTTGGTGGTCCAGTGCTTTGCCTTTCTCTCAGCCATGTTTTTACTTCGTTAATGCTACCTGCAACTACATTTATTGTTTCGTTCTTATCCAAGCTTCCATTTAAAGTAGAGCACCTTTTTAACATGGCTGCTATTTGGTTGGTAAGCTCAAGAAACCTGGACTTGGCTTACGAAACATCGCTTTAGTAAATCTTACTCTTTAAAATTTTCCTCCACTGATTATAGCAAATAAGCTAATCGAAGAATTAGATTTAAGCCCATTCTTATCCATAAAATTTCGGGATTATCAATATTATGGGCCTACAGAGGTTTCTCGGCTAATCACGGCTGTGGAGTGACCATGTTGGTAAAGTAATGCCTTTGGTGACAACCTTTCAAATGGGGCAAATGGAGAAATGGGTTGTGGGAGTGGATACGTGGCACTAAGTGCTAGGTTTTTTCGATTCTCAACTCACCAGTACTAATTCCAGCATAAATCACAGCAGGTAAACATTCGAGATCCGTGATCTCACTTCCAGTGATTACGACGGCGAAAACTGCTGACTTGGTGCTGTGCTTCTCTACCGTAACCAATTCATTTCTTCTATCCAGATTTCTTTTCATTTGCTGTCTTCTTTAATAATAATTCTAAGAACTTTCTAATTAAACTGAGTTTCTTAATTTGTGTTTTTCTAGTGTGTTCTGCGATTTCTGCAAGCAACTAAAAGCTCAGTCAGCAAAAATTTCCACTTCGAAGCATTATTCAGCTCACAAAAGCATTGACAACGATTGCAAGTGAGTTCTTTTCTGTCCAGTGTTTATAATTCTCACATATTTTGCAGTTTGGTTCAAGGGACGATTGCATCCACAATACATTCGGTCATCAACTTTCGCAGTTCTTAAACTGAACCTAGCCGTTTTATATGCCGCAATTAAATGTTTCAGATGCGATGAAATGCTTCCTGGATTGTATGATATCGAGACGGAGATGTGCACCCCAGAAGTTGATGACGTCAAAGACTACATTCCTCCAGAGATACAGTCCAATATCCTTGACAAGAGACCAGTGAGTAATTTAACACTGACCGAATCGAGTAGGGAGAATGGGCGCTTAGTCAACAGTTTTACAGATTTCCTTGAATTTTTTGCTCTATTAACAAAACTTTGGTTTCGAAAAAAGACTGTACGTGCTTTATTGAGATTTAAATCGAGTTCTACTTATAAAAGAAAATAATTGATATAATTCGATTTGGGGGTCATACAAATAGATTGATAGTTTGAAATTTGTGCTAGTTCTATTCCGCTCCGGGACAACCAAGCCTCTCATCCCTCCGGGGTCCAGAAATTGGTACCGGACTTGTCTGGGAAAAAATCACTCTTTGCAATCCAATTTGGAACGCTCCAACCCAGTTATCTCAGGACTCCAGAGAGAATTGCTCGACCAGCATTCTACGGCATTCAAGATGAAATGAAAATCCTCAAGCAACAACCGAAGCCACTTGTAAAATTTGTAAGATCTTCGTGGACAATGGATGCGAAGAAACGAACCGAATGTGAGAGAGTGTTGGTATCCGCACAGTAGACGTGCGGACGGATCATATGAGTGAAATAAATAGAAATAAATAAAATTCAATTTTTTACACCAACATCGAAGGGTCAGTCGACATATGGAATTAGCTGAGTTCACAGGAATCGCTGTCCTTCTGATAGAATTCGTATCGCAATGCAGAAAATTTCCTTCCTATTCACAAAAGCCGGCAACTGGGGCGACAACCTGGGAAGCCCTCACCTGGATATCGTGGCCATCTATGAAAAGTCACGCTTGACCAGCACTCAACAAGCGAACGAGTAGGCAAGTCCATAGATTCCTCTGGTGCTGCAATGTAATGTACACCTGCATCCGACCACCTCTGTACATAACGGTTGCCAACAATGAAGCAAATCAGGGAAATGCTGGTCACCATACGATATTTGAAAACGGGTTAAAAGATTGTTCAAAGATCTAAATCTAATTATTTAAGAAATCATATATTTGCAAAAAATCGTTCCTTAATGTGTGACGAGATGAATGATTTCCTAGAAAACAATGCGATTTCAGATTTCTATGTTCATTACTGTATATCTAATGGATCTCGAGCCTAGAAACGAGTCGTACCTCTCAGCATTCGGTCGCGCCATCCTTCAAAGAAGGTGTGAACTTACTCCTAAAATCCCCAGAACTTTTTTAAAACATACTAAAAATTATTTATGACTGCTCAAAAAACCAGAAATAGTTTAGAAGCTTAAAAAAGCCACTTTCAGAATGGCACAAAGCACAGTTGCTTGTTTTCTTCTTGGAATTGATGTGAAGCTTGCCTTACCTCAGTTCAATTAACCTCACTGTTCCTCAAAAACTTACCCGATGTTGTTGTATAATACTCACAGATAAAATGAGCAGCTATAGGTTTACTTTAAGTTTGTATCGTGTTTACAGACGTGTCTTTCATAAATTCATGTATGTTTCGCTTTTTTATGATGTCGTATTGTCGCTGACCGAAGATCTGCGTTGCCGCTGAGAAACGAAATAAAACTCGAAAATTTCTGCAGCGGAGAAGAATATTGACAGCTTTATGTAATTAGTCATTTTTAGCACTGTGGTATTCGGATGCCTCAGTTGAAATTCATTTTCAACGTTCAAAAGCGCTCTCTTGCTTTCCTCAATATTTCAAGCTGCTTTCAACTGTCACCATTCGTTACACATTTCACAATTTTTTACTCTTTTCATTTTACGGGTGGGACTGACCAAGAAATCCGGTTGAAGAATTTTCTATTATTCAGGTGCCAGCGTGCTTCTTTAAGCCGAGCGAATAATAGAAACAAGCCTTCCTCTTATTTGAATTGAATCCTCGATTTAAAAAAATCTCTGTGTGGAAATCCATAGTTAACTTTGACAAAAGCTGAAAAAACTCCCTTACAGTTAGAGCGTAAAAGCAGTTTAGCCGCCCAACTTCAAACGGACTTCCTTCGACACACAGTCTTAACTCCATTGTTTTTTATCATTTATTTGATCCGACTTCAAATGTTTTCCGGACACCATTTCTTGCTTCATTCTTGCTTCCGTTATCCAAAAATGTCTTTGAGTTTTCATGTGGGCTCGAATGCATCTAAAGCACTGTCTTCCACATAGACATCGTGAAATGCTGGTCGAGTTTATTCTTCCTGTAAACCTGCGATAGCTTTGCAAGAGCCCCCTTGTTTCGTCACCAATGATTTAGGCGGCGGTTTTGGTTGATCGGATGGAGCTTTTCGCGGGCAAATCTGCTTTTTATTTCCAGAACCAGAGAAATAGAAGGCTTACATTGCTCGGCGTGAACTCGAAAGATGACCGTGGTGTACACTGTTTGCATGGGATCGGCAACCGCCACTCTTAGCAGACCGCATCAAGTTTTTCATTTGGAATAAAACCAATGACGATCTATCGATCTTTTCTAACCAAAAATAAGTTTTCCTATTTAAACACGTTAAAATCTTTATCTTCTAGGATTTGTTCCCCGTCGAAAAACGTATTTATCTTTAACTGCAAAGTGGTTAAACAAGCGCTACTCCGCCAAGTTGGAAGCAAAGATACCATTGCATTCGCCGCCATTGTGGGCAGTCGCCATTTCTGCGTTAAACACTTAAAAACTGGCACGCCAATTAAAATTTGCAACAGTAATCTAAATAATTGAAATAGAAAAGACTTCGGAAAAATTACTCGTTTCCTTTGAGCGATTGAGCGACATTGGAACGCGCTCAGAATGTAGAGAATTATTCGCAGCGCAGTTTCTTCTCGCATTCTGATTGGCCACGGCTTTTAACATTATCTAAAATTGTCGAGTTATTTAATAGTTTGTGGGTCTAAGTTGATAAAAAGTGCTTTCAAAGAAGCAGGCAGTTCTACATTGACATTCTAAGAGGAAATTACTTTTTGCGGAAACAACTTTCGATCAGAAAAGTACTGATTCCGAAATTCGTTGTTTTACGGGCAAATTTCATCAGGAATCTCATATTTCACTAACAGGATAATACTGGTCGATTACTAAAAACTTAGCAGTAACGTGAATGACGCTGATGCAGGAATTATGTAAGGTAAGGGTCGCGTTCTTCGAGTGCATACTACTCAGGTCGATTATCTCCCGATTCTAAGTAAACACGATATCTCATAAGTCGATTTGCAGTTGGGCCGTTCACAACACGAATTGTTCACTTCCTGGTCTCACAAATGATGGCACTGATCTGAGCAAAATTATCAGAGGAGCTTACAAATGGAGCACCACGTATCTGATTTTATCATTCGAACAAGCTCGACATTCACCGTCCCGATTACCACCGCGAAAAGTAAAAGCCTTCATGCAACATCTACTCCAACCTGAACAACAAAAATACTAACGAGTAAATCTTGGCTATATATAAGCACACTTGGCCCACAGTTTCCATTCGTAACCCGTAATCCCTAGAACATTATTATTTCATAGAAAGTATAGTTGGCGAAGCACTCTATTCGACAATTATCACACACATGTACAGCGTAAACAATCTCACCAAGACTCCGACTATCTATGAAATCCAATCCTGGTCATTTTATGACCTTACGCTTTTTTTACATATTCACTCCACAGCGCTTGCAGCACAGTGGTTCGTGGTGTTCCAACCAAAAACGCGGTAGTTGCTTCTATTCCACATTCAGGAAAACCAGTGCGCCATATCCTTAAGGTCGGAAAATTTATTTCAAAGCTGTCCGGAAAATGAAAGCCTTGACTTGATAAATTTCAGACTCTGCGTTCGCCATGAAAATGCTAGTCCATTTTATTCCCCCTCTAATCGTCGATGGCCCAAACAGCTTTTCGGAGCCTTCGTTAGTGGCACTCTCCAGCTTTTTAAGAGCTTCACTAAGCACCTCTTTCGCACCACTTTCCCGACTCTGGGAGGATGGAGTGCTTAGTTAACTGGAGAGTTTCTCAAACCAGTGGACCTAGTTCGTGTCCTGAAGACATTTCTAATAACTGATTTTCGCACGCAACTTGTGCAGATAAATTACAAATTACCAACGATAGAAGCTCCCATTAACGAGCTTTTTCCTCATCATTACACATTTCCAAAACCAATTTTTATTAATTTGTGCTAATTTTTAAGAGCTTCAACTAATTATGGTCGTCAGTCTTGTAACTATCCACACTCATCTTTCAGCCACTGTATCTATTTATTCAACATATCTATTTCTCTTTATTCTATTTTACATGACCCGTCTTCACGTCTACCGTGCGAATCCCAGCACTTCTCACATTCGATTCGTTTCCTCGCATTCATTGTCCACGAAGATCATCCGACTTCAGGTGAGGCTTCGGGATGCTTGAGAATTTTCATTTTATCTTAAATGTCGTAGAATGCTGGCCGAGCAATTCACCCTGGAGTCCTAAGATAGCCTGGCCGGAGCATTCCCAGTTGCATTGTAGAGAGTGATTTTTTCCCAGATAAGTTCAGTACCAGTTTCCCGACGCCAGAGGGATGAGCGGCTTCGTTCGCCTGGAGCGGAATGGAACTAGCACCATGCTCGTGATGACAGACACATCACTACCATTGTGTTGACCGCCACTAGATATCTACACATGTCTTAATGAACATATAGTCTTTTTCCACCACCCTGCTTTACGCGAGCAATCTCATGTTAACAGCTCGCATAACAACGTGAAACTCATTGAACATTTACTGAGAATGTAGCCACTAGTAACTAACATATCGGTCTCTGCCGCGGTATAGGTTTACTTGTAACTGAGCTTCTACATGATAACGTCGAAATCCTCTTCAGAACGAATAGACCTAGTGGGTAATGAATCCCCTAACATAAATAAAAATTCGACAAGCAGGAATGATTTTTATTTAAAGAATAGATTGTTCGTATGCTCAGACCACGAAAACCAATACAATGAACATTTACTGAGAATGATCATTCATCTACTCAGACCACGAGAACCAACACAATGGATTATTCATCTACTGCGATCACAAGAAACAATATATCAAATTTAAACGGGATAGATTATTAAACACAAGACATAGAATATCAGAAAAGGAGAGATTTCGTTACAAAACCGAGGATTCGGAAACTGCCACCAAAGAAGCACTACACATATTCTATAGTGGCTTTTGCTTTGATCATTTTGTATCATTCACTTGGAATACAGCAACCATAATCAGTACTTTCTAGGATCATTCAATTAACAACAATAAACATTCTAACTGATAATACAGATAGTGGACTAAAGCACCTTTAAGCACAATGCCTTGAAATGCTAGCAGAGTAACTTCCACTTGTACAGCGTGGAAACCTGGTGCTGAAAACACCGATAACGCTGAAGCGCCCATTTTAGGACCATGAAAACAGGTGATCCTACTGAACAATTCCAGTACGCTTCCGAGAAGGACGGAATGTGAAGTCGAAAGTGGTGTCAGGAAATAACGGCATACTGTTGCCTAAACTGCACAGCTGCACAGGGTTTTGTAGTTTTCTATCCAGCTTCTCTGCTAATAATATGTACCAATACTAAATGCAATAGATGAGACCATAGTTGGTCATTCGTTGCTAGATATCCAAAAAAGAAACCGCGTATCCACAGGTATAAAAGCACTTAGACTTGAAAGACAGGAAGAGAAACTGAAATGTACCGATTGCGCCTATGACCTCTGAATGTCCAATTATTCGAGTTCGTTCATTTTTGGCTTCCCTTCTGAATCGAAATATGGCATTTTATTCAGTACCCACAAGACCAGATGAGCAGCTGACTTGCTAACGAGATACAAACTCCACTGTTCTATCATGGTGGAAACTTGAATTTCTGGAACTTCTTTATGTCAAGGCCCGTATTTTAAGTTAACCATTCGAACGATACTTTCTCACTGAACTTGATGCGACAACGGAAAACCACATCCCAATAACGATCAGCTGTAACTATCCACTCGGAAAAGTGCGGATCCGAAGAAGGAAAAGGCGCCGAAGCGCTAGCGGAATAAAAGTTTTACAGCATGCTCGTGGTTGCTTAGTAATTATGAAAGTTATATTTTTAGATCCTGATATGAAGCGGAGTCTCTTCTTTAATTCTTTAAACTTCTCAACTCTTCTAATCCTCTATTAATGGAAAAGTTTTAGTCTGAAATCGAAAAACAATCGCCTTCGCGAAAGTGTTAAATAGTGCATAGGAGAGCTATAGGTATAGAACATAGGAGGTGTAAAAGAGCACAGTCGTATAAACTCACAAAACGTAGTATCCTGTTCTTGTGGTCCGATCGATCTGCAACTCCATTGAACCACAATTTGCTGCTGCCGCTCAACAGAAACCTGTTTTGCACAGGTGTCCTAAA